GTTTGCGTTTCAAGCTGATATTGACCGTCCATAGCAGAGGTAGTGGAATTGAAAGCAGGTATATGTCCGTGATGATGTTGAGTATCACCACGACTAGAACGTATACCGGGGAGTTTGTTGGTTGGCAAAACTCTGGCGTATTAAGTTAGACGTGAGACTCAAGCCTGTTAAAGACCGGGGTTACTCACTGCCGGGATTTGGGCTAATCTGCCAGAAAGCGTGGAAAGGCTGGCATGATAAAAGAAGAGATAACTGAGTTGCTATCCACGTCACGGCTAGGATACCATAGGCGATTCGGACACGGGTCGGAAGGCTTTGGAGGCCAGTTCTGCAATTTTTATCAGCATTCCAATTTTTCTGGAATAAATGAGGGAGATATGTGGAGCGCACGTTAATCGAGAATAAAAGACAGCCAGGCTGATCTTGACAAGCCAAAGAATTGCGACGTATAGTGACCATCCAATGACTTGGATCTTTGATCCAGCAACTCGATTAGAGGCCTCCTTAGAGCTTAGGTCGACACTTTTCCGCTCCTCATCTGTCATATAGCTGTTGGTCAAGCCCTGATAATTGGCGACAACGAGATATGCTGCTACTGTCTCCAATACAAATACGATCTGCGCGAGGTAATCTTAGCGCATACACAACACATAGAAAGACGTAAGAACATACCCCGGCCAAAGGCATGAGATAGTCATCGAGCTGAAAATTGGTAGGTCCGACAAGCTTCCATCGTACAAAAATACGCACGATGATTGTGAACAGGGCTAAAGATAACAATACCCATGCCTCGACATTAGCCGCCATTTTCACGAGTGCGTGATGGCTAGGAATCCAGATGACGGAAAATGTGAAGGATCAGGTCGGGGTAAAATAAAAAAGAGCAATGAAAGGAACCAAGCCTTCAAATGACCCGAATGGTGGTCTTGTGGCGGAATCCTTCCATCCCGTCTGTTTGAAGATCGTCGGCTCCCTAATTCCACTTTAATTTTATTGACAAGGCGCGTATGAAAATCTTTTCGCCGATCTCGTGTCATCCGGAAACTAGACAGTCCATAACAAGCAAGATCTTCGACTTTCAAGCACGTTACTCCGCTAATTCCACTCTAATAGGAGAGGTGGAGCTCGTGTCGGCCCGCCAAGCACCACCAGAGGTGGGGATGTTTTAGCGGAACTGCCAACCCTACTCCACCGGGAGAATTGACCGGCAATTCTGGATCCCAGAAGCCCCATTTCAGGGGCTAAAACAGACGACTAGAGTTCGTTACGGCCAAACATAGTCGGCTTCTTTCCGTTAGCCCGTCGCTTCCAGAAAGTTTCAAGTTATATATGCTTTTGTCCCTCAGGAACGGAATTTTACGAATCCCTCTTTCATTGTTTTTCTTACCCTTGACTCGCAATCGCTCCGCTGAACATGTCTTCCTTTGAGTTTATTGTTGTCGGAAGTGAGTAATAGCCTTTAAATAAGGTTTCGGTTTATTCCCGATTGTCCCAAATGGTCTACCATGGTATCCTAAACTTAGATCGACTCTCTCGGGGACCAAACATCAAACTCCCTCCCAAATATTCTAACTCTGGTGTCTCATAGCTGATATTTGATAGGTGGCCCGGCTGGCAGTGCACTCGCCGCCAAACTTGCCAACTCGGCCGCAAAGCCACACGTCCTACTTCTGGAAGCGGGTGAGAACAAGGAGGATCGTAATCTTCGCGTGGACGGGGAGCGATGGATTACCTTCCAGAACCAGTCCATGAACTGGGGATACAAGACCTCTCCGCAGAAAGATTGCAATAACCGCGAGATTGACTACAGTCGCGGCCGGTGCATGGGCGGATCGAGCGCCATCAACTTTGGTGTATACAGTATTGGCGCGCGTGACGATTATCAGGAGTGGGCGCGCATCGTCGGTGATGATGATTATGGGTGGCAGAGTATCCAGAGGAGATTGAAGGATCTTGAAACCTTCCACGGAGAGACCCCGGAGGGTATGGACAAGAAATACGCCAATCCAAAGCCAGAGGATCATGGTAGCAAAGGCCCTCTGCACGTAGGCTTTGCACGCGAGTGGGAAAGAGACTTGCCGGAGCTATTGGATGTTTTCGAGCAGGCTGGATTTCCCTTGAACCCCGACCATAACTCGGGTAATCCCATCGGAATGTCGGTGTTGATTAACTCTGCTTATCAAGGGCTGCGCTCAACGGCAAGGGATCTGATTGTTGGCGGAGAGAAGAATAATCTGACGATTGCTACCGATTCGCCGGTGCAGCGTGTTATCCTGGAAGGAAACAAGGCTGTCGGCGTGGAAGCGAACGACAAGAAATGTGAGTCCAACCCATTCGGCCCCACCCTCACACCTCTGGTCCTATCTAAATATGCTAATATGACTGCGTCCATAGACTATGCTACAAAGGAGGTCATTCTATCCGCCGGCTCACTCAACGACCCTCGCATCTTGATGCATTCGGGAATCGGCCCCGCCGCCCAACTCAAACAATACAACATCGATGTCGTTCACGATGCCCCCGCCGTCGGCCAAGGACTTCGCGACCATTGCTTCGTCCCGATGGTGAACACCCGCACTGATAACAGTACAGACCGAAAGGCTTTCTATGGCTCCCAGGCCGCCATGGATGCCGCTAGAAAGGAATGGGAAGAACATGGAACCGGTCCCTGGGCAAAGTTTGCTTGTGAATTGGGTATTGGCTGGTTCAAGCTTACGGAACAGCTCATTTCCACGTCAGAATTTAAGGCCCTCCCGGAAGACGAACAGCGATATCTTCTTCAGGAGACCGTGCCACACTACGAGGTTATCACCCATTTCCCTATTCATTGGTTCATCCCCGACTTCCCGGCCGAGGCCTTGAATTACTCTTGCTTGTTGGTTTTCCTGTTCAATGCACAGACCCGTGGAGAAGTCACTCTGCAATCGTCAGACCCCGACGCTCCGCTTCTTTTCAATCCCAAGTTCCTTGCCCACCCCTTCGACCGGCGGCTTGCAATTGAGGCTCTGCGAGACTCTTTCCGTGTTGCCAAACATGAATCTTATACGAAGGACAATGTGGCCGAGCTAGCCATGCCCAAAAGTGAATCGGATGAGGACCTGCTAGAATATTGGCGCCAGAATATCTCGTCAAGTTGGCATATGACAGGAACAGTCAAAATGGGCAAAAAGGGTGACGTTGACGCAGTCGTCGATCCTGATTTCAAGGTGATCGGCATTGATAATCTGCGGATTGCTGATATGGGCGTTGTGCCGGTGTTGGTCAATGCCCATGTCCAGGCAGTGGCCTATGTCACTGGTGCAACTTGCGCTGAAAAGTTGATCAAGGAATACAACCTGGCTTAGATGCAAATAATTACGCAGAATGTGGCCAAATATATTAGCTACGACTGGCTGCAGCATATAGTGATCAAACCGTGCGCATTGTCAATAAGGATTTCGCTAATAAAGAGACTTCCCTATGTCATCTGCTCTATTTGTAAGCGTTTTTGAGCCCAAAATCTAACAAGCCTTTGTGGAGTTTATTTTGGGAAAAGATGTGCAGTAAGATAACCATGATATATATTCTGGGCCCCAGGGGACCAGAATATTTCCCCCAGTTCCAGGCAGACTTTATTCGTAAACTAGTTGAGAAGAAGGAGTCAGGGGATCCGATCAATAAAGCCGCTCCAGGCGGCAGCACTGGACCGGAAGGCTGAGATCCACGCCATTGGGGACATGGCCAAATTCGTGGTAATGGGAGCCGACGTTCCCAAGAAACAGGTGGAAATGCTCCAGTATTTTGCTGGAACTTCGCTATCTCTAATAGTGCAGCGCGTAAGCCACGCGCCGCCAAGTACTGTCATTATGTCTAACGTATAGCATATAGACTTGAAGTCCTATATATACCTCGTCGATTAAAAAACAAATACATACGACCACAGGGTGTGGAGAACAGGGCTTCCCGTCCGCTCAGCCGTACTTAAGCCACACGCCGGTAAGTTAGTAGTTAGGTGGGTGACCACTAGCGAATCCTTACTGTTGTATGTTTTTGTTTTTAATTAACTTAATTAACTTAACATGATAGACGCCCCTCGGTATATCTACCTAAGCCAGGGAGATAAGTACCTAGCCAAAACCTTAATCCTAGCGTACGCTAGAGATACTAGCACCCGCAATAAAAACATAGAAATCTAGTATTCCCTTATATAGCAATTATAACCTAGCTTTTATGTGGCTTTTCCTATGTGAACCGTACTTACGACACACGACCATATATTAATAGGGCTAAAGCAAGGTCACAAAAATTTCTTTGGATTTAAGATTAGGTTATCTCTATTGGTCCACTATTTTTCTCCCTAGAGCCTGCTAGTGCTAGTTTATTGGAGCCGCGAAACCGGAAACAGCTATCAAAGCGTAATAATAGCGGGATAACTTAATTTGACCCCAACTGCCGGGTTTGACACGCAAAATGTTCGGAAATAGTGAAATACCTGCCAGTTAGCCTGTACGGAAAATGAATCCTATTTCCGAGACAAAAGGCGGGCCTTCTGGATCTGCTAGTGTGTAGGGTAGGGTGCATGGGCCGGCCAAGCAAAGTCGATCATTTCGGCACCTGGAACGGCCCCGCATGACGCTTTCTCTTGCATTTTTCTTGTAGCCCAACTTAGTTGAAATTAAGATTCGGTAGTAACTACTATGTATAAATGGATGAAAGCCGTTACGGCCTATACCAGAGCCCTCCAGGATAAGTCAAACAGCAAACGTCACGCTCGCGATAGTGACTCGGTTTTATTCTATGGAATAAGCCCTGTCGGTCTAGTCTAGCGCAGTTCAACCCTTTCCTTCGAGGGACCAGCCTTAGCATTCGCTTAGAACATTGGAATGAATGCCAGTGGCTTGGCATTTATGCGGTCACTATTCGAAGTACCCTCCTCGAAAAGGATCAATATACTGTATATGAGAACGATCTGAGACAATTGCTTCCTATTTCGATATGGAATTAATGTCAATCTGGCAATACTAATCAAGAAGCCTTGATTTAGGTTCATTAGACGGCGAGTCTAGGAATTTCACAGTACAAATCACCGGGCTTTGATCTTCCATATTCACGTCATCCAGGCCAAATCCCCAAGCCTTCGCAACCCGACTATCTGGCCGAAATTCATAATTAGATTGCCATTCCAAGGTATTCTCGTCAGCGTTCTGGAATTCAAGATTAAAGTGGTCGTCCTCATCGACTCCAAATTTCAGGCTTTTCAAACAGGGCATACGTTGCGCCGCATAGCCCAGCGACATAAAAAGCCGCTGGAAGTGTTCCTCAATCCTCACCTCTCGTCCCCACCATCCTCGCTCCGTATCGCATATCTCAGCAAGCCAGTCATTCTGTTCGTTAATTTCATCGATTTCGGCCTGGCGCTCCGCCGAGAACTCGTAATGGAATTCCCCTATTTGATGGCCTTGCTGTTAGTTACCATTTGGTTTACTGAATGCTTTATCTGAAAAAAGAGATTCTTTACCTGAAGGGAGCCAGCCTGGCATATTCGTAACCTCCACCATCTTGAGATGAGGCCATTGAAAGAGCCCCCGCCTAGTAGGCTTGCCTTCTATCTCTAAAGGACATAAGAAGTCAAATGGGAGAGGGGTGCTTTTGAACTTCAATTCCCGAAGGTGAGTGCTGAATTCTCGTAAATTGTCTGATAAGCTGTCAATCCCGGAAGGGATGAGATTCAGTGCAGACATGCACGGTTTCCACGGGCCGTCCCTCTCGCCCTCATAATGTAGTACGCAAAGGCTACTGGGAAGAGAGCCGATAAGAGAAGCAAATGCTATACGACGGTTAGTAAAACATGCTCGGCTCTATGGTTAAGAGGGGATGGCTTACCTGCACGTCGCCTTTGTAAATACTCTAGGTGATCCGGACGGATCCATTCGTCGAGATTTAGCTCCAATTCGGTGACATTTGGACAGTGTTGCACTATACTTTGCACTGCCCCGGTCCAGATATGATGAGGCCGCCTCAGGTCTACAAAAGCGAGCTTTTCAATACACGGAACATGCGCTAGCATACCGGTAAGAAATTGCGCCCGATATGGAGGAACCGACTTTCTGCTTCCATGTTTGTAATCCCAACGATATTCACCAGCATCTTGATAGTATTCAGTCCATGGTTCTGGCGCAGGCTCTAGTGAGCTTCCTCGAAGCCCTAGACGCAATCTGAGACGGACTCTTTGGTCCCATGAGTGAAGGATTTGGAAAAGGTCTATCACGCCAGTCTGGAACGCTAGATCATTGGCCTTCCTAATAGGATTGTCTGTGGTGTAGTTTTCGATGTTCCCCCACGATTTGCGTGTGGTCCAGTCCGGGAGTTCGTGGGGGACTAAGACATTGTACTCCAGCTTGCGAATCCAGGTTCGCCGTATAGCACGATCGCCGGATGTGAGTTTTTGAAAAAGGGCTAAAGAAATCCCAGGTTGCCCTTCATTGTGATTATCATCGCTATATACAACGAGGTTAGAGTAGATCAGAGGCTCAAAAGCCGCCTGCCAGGAGCGACACACAGAAGTGCATGGAACCAACGAGACTTCCTCACTTTGCAACAGGGCAGCGATCTGGAGTAATAATTCCCGGGGTAGTGTTACCATCATTGTGGTGCGGCCTAGGGAGATATTTGAGTGGAAAAGATCCAAATGAAGGTAATACGATACAAAGTGAAAGCGATAATGATAGAAAAGGAAAAAGAATCAAAGACGGAGGAGAAAGGAAAACAAGAGAAGGTCGTAAAGGCTTGGCGTGGTCTCCTCCAAAGGTACAGATCGTCTGGATTACTTACTGTGCTGTAGCATGTTATATGATGGCTGTATTCTCTAGAGGTGTCTGAGGGTCACGATACAGCATTAAAGATACAAGCATAGCCCTAATGCATGAACACTTATTTTTGAAGGCACCTCGGTTTTTGCGCCGATCTTTTAAGACATCTCAATTTCAGTGTAGACAACAATTCATTGCTTAAGCCTTCAGGATGGATCGAATCAGTTTCACCATTTCCATTCAGAAATTCCTTCTCGATCCCTTTTTCGAAACATGCTCTATCTCTTACGGTTACTCTGCCCCAGAATCCCTTTTTTGGGTGATTCTCACCATGATTCTCACCCCGTCTATAGCGCACTCACCCTTGTCACCCCCGGTCGCGCGACGACAAAGCGGCTCTCACCCTTAACTTACCCAGGCGACACCAACCCGACTACTGACCGCAGACAAGACACACGCGCCGGTAACTGGTTGGGTATATGACCACGAGTGTATCTTCTGTGATCTATACAGCCTATGTAAGCGTAAGTCTATACAAAACCTTTCTATGCCAAAGAAAGTACATACGACCATAGGGTGTGGAGAACAGGGCTTCCCGTCCGCTCAGCCGTACTTAAGCCACACGCCGGTAAGTTAGTAGTTAGGTGGGTGACCACTAGCGAATCCTTACTGTTGTATGTTTTTTATTTTTTTTACACCACCTTAAAATATTAAGGTGACTAAATGATCATAACTGATTGTCTTAAATATGTTTCATAGCTCAGCCAGATGTTTTCCCCGCGTCGCAAGATATTGTAGTCTTGAGTGTTATATCCTTCCCAACATCTTCAAATATATATTTTCTGGGTACTGCAAAAGTTATCCCCCATGATACAGCTTTGTCCTGTAACTGAACCAGCTTCAATTCTTAATATAAGATCGTGTGATAAATTGCAAAGAATCAACATACCGGAAAGTTATATTTTATCTAGAACTGAGTGGTGGTTAGGTGTTCTCTATATCGCTATGTATGGATATAAACCAATTTTTATTTATATATCATCATAATGCCAAGGCATCAACAATAAGCTCGCGTAGCTCAGTTGGTAGAGCGCGGCACTAGTAATGCCGAGGTCCATCGTTCAAGTCGGTGCGTGAGCAAATCTACCTTTTTTTGCATTTTGTGTATTTTCTTGTACTAGACCATGTTTGAAAGCCCTTGGTACCTCAATAAACAGATTATAACCAATCAGCTCGCGTAGCTCAGTTGGTAGAGCGCGGCACTAGTAATGCCGAGGTCCATCGTTCAAGTCGGTGCGTGAGCATATCAATCAGTTTCTTTTTGCCTATTTTGCAGATTGACTTTGTATGAAGAAGCCCTATACTTTTTTTTGTCTGTTACCAATTGCGGAGAACCTCAAATAACATCACGCTGAGCTCGGAATCACGACCAAAGAAACCGAGTGACCCCGAAGTTCTAAATGATACCAGTTGTTGGGCAGAAGTCGCTGCAACCCAAGCTATACATGAGCAAAGCCTATGGTCGCCAAAGCCCCAAGTACCAACCAATTGGCCCAAACCAAACTAATAGAACACCGTGATATGCACGAGCATGCAGAATAAGCTGCATGAACAACTCAGAAACCCCAAAAATCCCCAAAGTTGATTGACCACGACCAACCCACACCCATGCAACAAACCCGCTATGGACCCCTAGCAGCAGGGCAAATGACGCGAACTAACAACAAAAGCGAACCCCGACATTCAACTATCTTGCATGTATGGAGTACATTATGCACTAATCGGCACAATGCCCATAGTCCAAACCGAACCCCCGCTTATATGTACCTGCCACATCGACCTAGAATTAACCCTCCTCCCTCCTCTTCTTTCTTCTTCGGAGAACCGAAAATTCGGGGAAGATGTCAATTCTGTCTGAATCGCAGGTAGGGCGATGGCGCCTGTGATACACCAGTTCACCCAGACAATCCCGCGCCCAGATTCCACATCTTCAGCTTTGATACCGGGATCGTCTGGTCCCCGCACGACAGAAGTTCATATCCGCGAACTCGCTGTTAGCAGTAGCGGTAACTCAATAACATTTACTCCTCCCGCAAGCTATGCATTCACCGACGATACGGACAGCGACACCAGTGCCACCAGCAAAAGCAGTAGCAGCAGCAGCAAAGAAAGCGGCATATCAGGCCCCCTCAAAGGCGCAATAGCAGGCTCAATAGTCGGCGCAGCATTCCTACTGCTACTACTATACTGCTGCTACCGACGTTCGCCCAAGGCAGCAGAAGCACACCGTCGAAGCCGACGATCCTCCAATATCTCCAAAGACTCACCAGATCCAGCATCGCCTGAGCCCGCACCAGTAGAGCCAAAACCAGCCCCAGTAGCAGAACCGGCAGAGCCACCACCAACAAAGCAAAAGAAAACAGTGCGGATAGCGCCTGGATCGACGCCGCCTCCGCATTTACATCTTCATCCGTATGTGCGGACGCCTGTGAAGGCGAAGGTGAAGCTTTATCCTGATTCGGAGGAGGCGAAGGGGACGTTTTCGTCGATTGAGCGGTATACTATGGATCTCGGGGCTGGGGCTCATGTTCGGATTAAGAGGGGCAAGACGGGTACGCCGATTGCGTTTGTTAGTCGGCCTAGGGAGGTGGGTGAGGTGGTTGGTTAATACTGGTGAGAATGGGGCGAAGGGGTGATATTTGGAGTTGGAATTGAATTGGGTTGCGATTGAGTATATATAGATGGGAGTTCTGGGCTGACAAGACGGGTATTGATTGGATTGGATTTCATTAGCATATCTCTAGGCTGTTTGGTTTTGGTTTGTCTAATCTGGACAGTGCATGTTCTATGTAGATACTTTTCTAGGGCATAATAGGGGAAATGGCATGACTCCCGGTGCAAAACACTTAATCCGCTCTTGGCTTTCCGCGTCCACGACCTCCACCCCGTCCACCCCGTCCTCTACCGCCACCACCACCTCCTCCACGTCTCTTCTCGATACCACCTCTGCGATCACCCTGACCAGCACCGGGGCTTAAAGCATCACGGTTCTTAGTCTTGGGCTCGCGGGTGTTACTCTTAGAACGGGAACGACCGCGCTGACCACCACCGCGCTTAGCTGCCAGATCACTAGCACTCGCATAGTTGAAACCGGGCACGCCCTTCAATCCCATCTTGCCAACGACCTTCTTGTCCATTGGGGGAGGCTCGGGGCAAGCCATAGCCTTCATGGCCATTTCATTTGCGAGTTGGACAAGACCGGGCTTGTCAAGACGGAGCTGTCTCATCAGACCTGATCCAGCGAAGAAACCGATGAATGATGAGTAAGCGCGTTGCTTGGTCTCTTCGTCGATGTTGTACATGGCTTGGGTGACGGAGTCGACGCATGAGTTTGCGCCTGCATTGATGGCTTCGGTAGCGGGGTGAGGCTTGATGGGCAGGTGGCGGTTGTTGTTCATGAAGAAAGACTCGCCTTGGGTGAGGAGGATGATGGCGCGGCCGTCATTTCCGGCACGTGCGGTACGGCCGACTCGGTGGACGTATTGCTCGCCGTTGGAGGGTAGACCGACTTGGATGACTAAGTCGACGTTGGGGAAATCCATACCGCGACCGATGACATCTGAGGCGAAGAGGATTCCAGCTTCGGCTTCCTTAAATTCGTCTGTGGTCCTTGTGCGTGCGCGCTGGTTGAGCCTGGAGTGGATCTCGAACACCTTCAGGGGAGTCAAACCCTGAGAGAAGACAGCTGCGAAGAGAGCAACCATGTTGGCGGTGACACCGAAGACAATGATTTTGGAGCTGGTCTTGATTTCAAGGCTGAGAAGCGAGGCAAGGGTGGTGAAGGTTTGCGACACGGATGGCATCAGCACATGGTACTGGGGCACTCTCTCGTGTGTTGGTGCTTCATTCTTTTCAATGGTGGAAAGACTGGTATAGCCTGGCTTCAAGACCACGCTGACCACATCCTTGACCTTCGGTGGGACGGTAGCCGAGAAACACATTCCCTGCCAGCCAGCACTCTTAGGGGGAATAAGTCTGAGAATCTGCTTCACGTCATGGATAAATCCACTCTCAAGCATGGTATCGGCTTCATCCAGAACGAGAGTTTGGATGTTAGACAGCTTCTCCGCCGAGTCCTCATCGGAAAGATAATCCTTCAGGCGTCCAGGAGTGGCCACAAGAACAGAAGGAGTCTGCTTCATGAATCGAGAAAAGGCAGGCGCCCTGTTCGTTCCACCAACGGCGATATCACATCTGACAGGAGTGCTGAGTTGCGATGTTAGCTGATCACATGACTTGGCAATTTGCTGGGCGAGTTCTCGCGTCGGGGTGATAATCAGGATGGCTACCTGGCCCTTTGGTGGGGTTGCCTGGCCTTGGAGGAGACAGTGCAGGGCAGGGAGTAGGAAAGCCAGGGTCTTGCCAGTGCCGGTCTTGGCCTGGACGAGGCAGTCACTGCGCCAGGTTGGGAGCTCAGTCAAAACACGGTGTTGGACTGGGGTCATGAACTCGAATTCCATCACCTTGAGGGCTTGGAGGAGTTTTGGGTCTAGCTTCCCGGCCATGCTTGTGTATGGCACAGCGTCATCATTGATTCCAGGGCCTGACATGGTCGAGGCTGGGTGTTTCAAGGGACCTGGTGAGATGAAAATTTAAATGAATGGCGATTCAGCGATGAAATACAAATTTTAGAAAATGACTGTGAGAAATTAAGCAAAAACTCCAGATTTCATCTATTTTGTGAGGATTGTAAGTTGTAAGTTGACTCGCATCAACAGTTTGTCCTTGTTAGAGATTTGCCGCCAAGCATTTTCGACTGGGAGGAGCTTGGTCAGCATCGAATGATTGGCTACAATGGATCCACTATATTTAGCCGCAGAGATGCTTCTCTTCTTTCAAGTTCACTTCGACTCTCGATTCAGGATATCGTCAAGTATTTCTGGAGACTCAACGTCCAAGATACCTCGGCTTAATCCTTGACTTAACAAGGTCCACCATTCATAACTTCGGAAAAACCCGTCTCTGACGCTCTGGATCGGCCCCCGAGACGGCAGACTTTTCTCTAGCTTGGACCCCAACGCGTTTAGGCGACGGGGCCGTACTGATATTCAGATCAATTCCAATTGGCCGGATCGAAAATCCCAACAAAAAACTTAAATGCACCTTAATTTGAACCTCGGCAATTACCATATCAGGGAAGAGTCTAGAACTAGAACTAGAAACAAAAGATCTGATCGCTCATCTTAGCAACAACCCCTGGCTTCGCAAAACCCATCGCAACCAAATTTTTCTTAGTCGCATTAACCATGCCTGGGGGCCCACACAACATAATTTTCGTATCCTCCGCAGACCCAGGAAGCCGCGCCTTCAGCACCTCTTGATCCACATACCCAGAACCATAAGCCCACCCCTCAGGCGCCGTATCCACCAAATACCAAAGCTTGAAGTTCTTCGGGTAAAGACGAGCAAAGCGCTCCAGCTCAGCACGCAATAGGATGTCTGCCTCACTGCGGTTCGCATAGATCAGACTGACCTCCGTGGTATCCGTGTCGTTTTCACAGATCGCCCGGATCAGCTGGTACATAGGCGTGATGCCAGTGCCACCGGCTACCATGCCGATTTTCTTGCAGAGGCCCTTGGAGTAGCGCATTGAGCCCTTAGGACCGCGGAACTCGACTTCATCGCCGAGCTCGAGGTGGGCGAGGTATTGGCCGCTGAGTTGGCCGTCCGGGTAGCATTTTACTACTAGTTCGATGCGGCCGCGGTCTGTGTTGTTGGAGGTTGGGGTGTAGGAGCGCGTTACGGTTGTGCCGTTGATGTTGGCGCGGATGGCGACGTGTTGGCCGATCGGGAGGCCAAGGACACTTGTCTGGGTTGGGAGGGCGAAGACAAAGCGGTAGACGTTGGTTGCTAGTTCAGTCTTTTCGACTAGCGGGAGACGTTGGTAGGTTTGCGGTTCGAGGACTCCGCGGGTTAGATGGGGATCGACGCGGATTACTTTCTTGGCTTTCATATGTGGTGGGTAACGCATGAAGCCTGAGTCGATTTTGGTGAAGCGGTTGGCTTGTCGGGCGACTACTATTCCCACTGCTGTGGAGATGACGCTAGCGGCTAGGAAGCCGTTGATGAAGCCGCCATGAGGGAGGCGGAGGGTCTTTAGTTGGTGTGGGATGAGTTGGGAGATGGCACCCAGGCTGTTGGTGAGGTAGTTCGTGCGGTTGAGGACGTAAAAGATTGGGATCAGACCACCCAGAGCGGCGATGGCTGGCATGGCACTCGTTGAAGAGGAGTCTGCCTCTTGTGTCTTTTGCGAGACCACGCGCACTGCCTTGGGTCGCACAAACTGCTGGGCATCTTTCAACGTGCCGACCAGGAAGGGCTGCATGATTTCGCGGGCATCCTCAGAGTGTCCGACATCTTCGTAGTCGGCGGTGGCATCTGTACCGGCTACCTCGACGAGGACCTCTGCACCTCCGGGGTGATCTTGCAGATATTCAGTGAGATCAAAGACTGTGACATGTCAGTGAGTGCCTTCCAGATCTGTCAAACATACATACCTTGCCCGTGGATGACCATCCAGGTATCACCCTTTGTGTTATGCGCAGCAACATCTTTCAATGTATACTCTGGAAGCACAACATCTGCCTTCCATTCAGCCTTGAGCTCTTTAGTTTCTGGGACAGACATTTTGAGGGATATGACACGAAAATAAAAAGGAGTGAAGACCTTAAAAGCAAATCAAGACCAGGAAATTAACCAGCATCCACTCCGATATGTGCATAAAAGTGAGATATCAACCTCGGTTCCTGTCAAGAAACACCTCGGTGGGGCCGAGCCGTTCAACGGCATCTTGGTTCCGAAGCCACGGTGAGCCCGAAACCATATTTTCGCCGGTCATTGCACAAACTCGAAGCAAATCCGACGAGAAAACAAGAGACGGGATCCCGATTACCGACTTTTGGCCAATAAGGGGGTTTGCGGTGGATCCCAAGTCTAAAACATCGAAAGTGCCGAGGCTGTTTGGAGATACGCCCCCCTAACTACATACTTCACTGTACATTATGAATTACCAATGCGATTTGGTACATTGGACTCGGTGGAGTTATGTAATTTCAAATGATATTTTCCATGTTGCATGATTCCTATAAATATTAGCGGGCCCTGGATGATAACAAATTTGCATTCGCACTATTTCCATCCCTACAATGCCTGCGAAACAGTTCTACTTGCTGGGCGAGGCTATCACCTCAGCCCGAGGCGTTGATATCGAGTCAAATATTGACATCGAAGGCCTTCAACTCCTTATCGCCGGTCAATTCGCAATTGTCGAGCCAAATGGTAAATGACCATCTCCCATCTCCCATCAAACCATTCTAACAAACCCAGGCATCGGCTTCCAAACCGAAGATGCGGCCCTCACAACCCCAACAGAGATCCTCACCAGCGAAACCCCAATCGCAATCTCAATAGATGGCAAAGCAGTCCGAGAAATCCCGGGACCCAAAGGCCTCCCTTTCGTAGGCAATTTCTTCGAAATCTACCCGGACCACCTGGGCAACCACCAACGCCTCTTCGACCAATACGGCCCGATAATCCGCACAACAAACATGGGCCGAACAGTCTACCAGACCAACGATCCGGAGCTCTCCTCAATCGTCTTCGCCGAGTCAGACTTCTTCACCAAGAAAATCCAAGAAGGCCACCCCCTTCACCCAATCAAGAACCAGCAAGCCGGTGTTTTCCTCGGTGACACCGATACACCCGAATGGCGCGCAGCACACAAGTTTTTGCCTCCCGCACTGGGACCCAAGGCTGTGCGACACTATGCGCCAACCATGCAGGAGACGGTCGAGGATGCGTTTAGTGTTTTCGATGAGCTTGATGAGCGTGGTGAGGCGTGGAATGTCTACCAGTATATGCTTAAGCTGGGTTCCCAAGCTGTCGGCAAGTTGATGCTGGGTATGGACTTTAAGCAGTTCACTGCTGTTGATGCGCCACCCCATGAGCTTGTTTACCGTATTGCAGAATCGCTGGAGCTTAATAAGAAGGTTACGGCTCGTGGCGATTGGTATGCTAAGATGCCGTTTGGGGACCCTAAGCGGTTGAGGGATGCGCGTGGGCGTATCATTGAGATGGTCAATGAGTCTATTGCCAATGCTTCCCGGGGTGGTGTCGAGGATTTGCCGTTGCAAGATGCTGCGTTAAAGGCGAATAACATGATTGGTGAGTGACCAAGAGAAGAAGGGCAGAAGAACAAGCACTAACATATCACAGACTACATCATCCGCGCCACAGACAACAAAGGCGAAAAACTCCCCAAAACCAGCCTCATGGAAGCCCTAGTCGTAGCCACCGGTGCCGGCTTCACAACAACCAGCTCCCTCCTCTCCTGGCTCCTCTACTCCCTAGTCAATTACGAAGGAATGCAAGAACGCCTGCTCCAAGAACTAATCGACAACGACATCGACGAAAATACATTGATGACAGCGGACCTAACAGACCGCCTCACCTTCCTGGACAAATTCATCAAAGAAACCCAACGCCGCCACAACCCCTCCTACCAACCCGCGCGCACGGCACGAGTCGACATGATCCTCCCAGGTGGCTACAAGCTGCCCCAAGACTCAATCGTCATCCCGGCCCTGCACCACATCCACAACAACCCAGCCGTGTGGAATAATCCAGCGCGCTTCGATCCTGATCGCTGGGATACGGATGATGTCAAGAATAGACATAAGGGTGCTTATGTGCCTTTTGCTGCGGGACCGCGCATGTGCATTGGCTTTAACTTTGCCCTGCAGGAGGTTAAGGTCTTCTTGCCTAAGTTATTGTTTAGGTATCGCTTTACGAGGGAGAATGATGGGCCGGTGGAGTATGATCCTATGTTCCAGTTGATTCGGCCGACGAATTTGTATGTCCGCGCTGAGCGGAGGGTGAAGTGGCCCGTTAAGACGGAGAATTAGAGATGTGAGGAATAAGGTTCTGTCTTTGTATATAATCGGTTGAATGATGCTTCCATTGCAATTGTGTGTTCTGTATATGGTCGGCATGAAGCCATGCCGATCTCCGAGCAGATATTTTTGCACGTCATAATATTCTAATAACACCAAACCAATCAAGAAACAGAGATAAGACCCTCTTCAGCCTTATAGGCTATCCATCGCGTGTTTAGGCAGCCGAAAAGCTTAGGTTAACCCCGAGGGCGGCAAGAACCCGAGCTTTCTCGGAGTTAACCCCTTCACGTTGAATCTCCCGCTCAGTTCTCCCTTGTCCTTCTCTTCCACGTCTTCCCCCACCTTCGCACCTCACTACCAAAATGCCATACCTAACCAACGCATTAAACGAGGTAGGCCTCCTAACAATGTGGCACTCCACATTGGATGTCAAACTCCTCTGCGCTCAACGTTTCGTCCGACTATTCGCATACGGCGGCTCAACACTCATCCTCGCGTCATACCTATCCGCCATTGGCATCTCGGATGATCGCATTGGATTATTTATGACGTTGACACTGGTCGGCGATGTGGTGATTAGCTTCTTCCTCACACTATTTGCAGATGCAATGGGCCGCAAGGCGGTGTTGTCGCTTGGATCGGCGTTGATGGCTGGGAGTGGGCTGGTTTTTGGATTTTTTGGGAATTATTGGGCTCTTTTGGCTGCGGCGGTTTTTGGTGTTATTAGTCCGAGGTGAGTGGTTGGGTTCTTTTGTGATTGATGGTGGGGTACTAATTCTCGGCAGTGGGAATGAAATTGGTCCCTTCCGCGCTGTGGAGGAATCGACCTTGGCGCATCTTACGCCTCATGAGTTGCTTAGTGATGTTTTTGCTTGGTATTCGCTTATTGGGACTGCGGGATCGGCGTTGGGTATGCTGGTCTGTGGCTGGATTATCAATTCTTTGGAGTCTATTCACGGGTGGGAGTTCATTCCTTCGTGTCGGATTATCTTCTTCGTCTATGCCGGTGTTGGTATCGTCAAGTTGATTCTTACTCTGGGTTTGAGTGGCAAGGTTGAGCTTCAGAAGGAGGAGGCTCCGGAGAATGGTGAAACTCGTGCACTGCTGGATCCAAACCCAGAACAGGAACAGGAGGCACCCAAGAAGAAGGGCTTGTTTGCATCTATTGAAAAGGATCTGTGGTCGCTGGTTATTCGACTGTTCATCTTGTTCGGTCTGGACGCGTTCGCCTCTGGACTGGCTTCTCTGTGAGTATTCCGATTGCGATTCATTGACACAAGCTGACCCCTGCAGATCCTGGATGACATACTTCTTCAAGCGCAAGTTCTCCCTCCCCGAGGGTGAACTCGGAACGATCTTCTTCATCACGAACATCATCTCCGCAGCCTCCATGCTGGTCGCATCATCTCTCGCCAAGCGCATTGGAAATGTCAAGGTGAGCTATCCATACTAGCAGTCTTCGCGGATCAATTGCTAACTATTACAGACCATGGCCTTCACTCACCTCCCCTCAGCCGTCTGCCTGGCCCTGGTATCCGTCCCATCCAGCCTCCCATTGGCCCTAACCCTCCTCGTCCTACGAGCTAGCTCCCAGAGCATGGACGTAGCGCCCCGCTCCGCATTCCTAGCGGCAGTCCTACCGGCAGACAAGCGCACAGCCATCATGGGAGCCGTCAACGTTGTCAAGACAACCAGTCAAACCATGGGGCCCCTGCTAACAGGTATCTTGGCACGCAATGGCTTCTTCGGTGTCTCCTTCATGATCGCCGGATGCTTGAAGGTCGTCTACGACCTGGGCATATTGGCCAGTTTCGCCGGCATGGAAACACCTCGCAAGCGGGCTGCGCAAGAAGCCGACGAAGAAAATGAAGCGTGAGTGTACGATTATAAGTGTAAGTATGAATCTCGAGTATTATAAGCGAGGTGCCTCTCTCCGCCCTTAAAAGCAAAAGTCCCGGCGAGTACATAGAATGGAACAGTAACTAGACATGCATCCTGTGCCACCCATCATCCCACTAGGCAGACACGTTTTGACGTTCTCCTTAGACAGCACGTACGTACATACATATACGCTGGAGTGTGTTCATATAGTCTCACTCTTCCCACCCGCAGCCAAGCCTTCCTACATCGTCTTGGCACCTGCGATGGCCAACTCAACCCTAACGCCCATCCTAGTCATGTCCAACAATGGCATACCAGAACACACCATAAGAATGAAGTCAACGCGTTTTTCGATGTCCTCGATTTGGAAATGCTCGCATCCGCTTTGCATAGCGCATCCCCGATCCGCGCGGGCAATCTTCTGCAGATGTGTTCAACGACCGTTATGGATCTTCATTCTGACCTTGTACGCACCCTTCCCATCCTCATCTTACCTGCCCCCATCCTCCCTCCTTTACAACAAGGTGCATACAAAAACTAACCGCATCTACAGCGGCCTCCTAAACCTCCTCAGAGTAGCAACATCCCACCTACCAACCCTCCTCCCAGACCTAGAACTAATAAACTTCTCCCGCAAACCATCCCCCTTCTCAACATGGTCCACTCACGGCGTCATCCCAGTCCGCTGCCACTCTCACAACGACTACTGGCGCCACGTGCCCCTCCACTCGGCTCTATCAGCCGGGTGTATCAGCGTCGAGGCTGATGTGTGGCCATGGCGCGATCAGATCCTTGTCGGTCATTCACGGTTTACTGTGTTGAGGGGGACGTTGGGGAGACTTTATCTGGAGCCTTTGGTTGAGATGCTTGATTTGCATAATCGGGAGAAGGTGGAATGGGATGCGATTGGGAGCGGCGGTGAGATTGGGGACGGTGACGGTGATGATATCGTGGGCGTATTCGCAAATGATCCCAAACAAACCCTCGTCCTACTCATCGATTTCAAATCCGACGGCGAGTTACTCTGGTCTCTTCTTTCTGATGCGCTTACTCCCCTTCGGGATCGGGGGTATCTGACTTATTTCAACGGGAGTGGCGTTGTCATGCGCCCTGTTACAATCGTTGCGAGTGGGAATATTTCTTTTTCGAGTCTTGTGCGGAATACAACGTATCGTGATATCTTCTATGATGCACCACTGGATAACCTCACCCAATTCCCAGTCAATGATACCACGACGACAATCACAGATCAAGTCTCAAAAGACTCAAACGGACAGTTCATGGGTCCCCTATTCAACCCAAATAACAGTTACTACGCCTCCGTCGACTTCCGCAAGGCAATAGGCCATCTCCAGCTCGGCCGATTATCAGAGACCCAACTCGAGACTCTCCGGGCTCAAGTGCACGCTGCCCATGAACTGGGGTTGAAAGTGCGGTATTGGGGGAATCCGAGTTGGCCGATTGGACTCCGGGATCGTGTTTGGAATGTGTTTGTGCATGAGGGTGTGGATGTGATTAATACGGATGATTTGAGGGGGGTGACTAGGCAGGTGTGGAGGGATAGTTATTGGTGATGGTAGGGTTGTTTTGTTTTGTGTTATTTGAATGGTGGTTTCGTTATCAAACCGAAAAGTGTGAGAAACCACAAGATATTTTATGATTTCTACGATTCAATTTTCAAAAATCATTGGATTCGTAATTTGTTCCATATACGTAGATGCACATCACTATAACTTCAAAGAATCATCACAAATTCTGGGTTGCGGTCGTCGTTGTAACCAATGTATTGGTCGTATTTGCCATTCTTCTTGTCTCGGTTGATTTTTGCGCAGTAAAGAACGTTAAGCAGGATCCTATATAATATCAGTGACAGTTCTCGAATGTGAAATGGAATGGAAGGTACTCACATGAACCACGCAAATACCAGAAGACCAAGAATAATCGTGTGTCCACGATGGAAGAGAGGGCCATCCTTAGATGGATAATTGAAAGCTAGAACACCAACCGTCAATACTATGGAAGTAAATGAATGGAGAAAATAGAACATTGAGAAACTTACTTGCAACGAACCCCCCACAATTAGCAATAGCCAACTGCAACGCCGAAGTAGTAGCCCGCTTATAATGCCCAGCCGAGTTATTTGACAGCCACACCAAGATGCAAGGTACACTGGCATATTGCCCGGTAGCCATGAGGAAAGTCATTCCATATTGAACGCGAGGAGAATCGATATTCGCAATGACAGCGTAGCCAATTATAGCAATCGGAAGGGTGAATAGCATGATCACGCCTCGGAGGCGCAGACGATCGGAGATAATTGCCACGATTACGGTGACTACCGCTGCCACGGCGTAGGGGATCACAGACCATAGTTGGACTTCGTTGGCGTCTTTGGCGAAGCCGAGGCTTTTGATTATTGTTGGGAGCTGCATTATGTTAGTTGGGATTCTTGTGTGGTGGACGGGTTGGGTGCATACGAATAGGCCGAAGGAGTATAGCCCCGATAGAATGGCAAAGTAGGCTGTGGCAGAGAACCATACTTGGAGTTCTAGGACGCCACGGCGTACTTCCGACCATTTGAAGGATTCTGCTTCTGAGGCTAGGGTTCTGCTGTTGTTAGCGGGATTGTGAATGATAGATGGTGGCCTGCTTACCCTTCTATGGTCCTGGGATTATCGAGCATCAGTCTCTCCCGACCGAATTCCTTTTCCTCGGTAGTCAGGAAGGTTGCTGACTCTAGGGAGTTTGGGAGGACGAAGAAGCTCAGTACTCCGCAGACAAAGGTCTGTCGCCAGTTAGAGAAGAACATGCTCCATTTTTGGACAGTGATATGAACGTACCAATAGTCCTTCAATGATCAGAATCCAGCGCCAGCCTTCTAGACCTCCGCGAGGTCCAATTGCAGCTAATCCACGGGCAAGGAGACCTAATCAATTAGCATCAAATTGACACTTAGTAGGAGAGATACATACCTCCAAAGGCACCAGACAGAGAAGCAGCCGTATAGAACAACCCAATTCGCAGAGCGAGGTCACCTCGTCTATAGAAAGTAGACAGGTATAAAACCTGCATTCTTCCAATTAGCCTCCACTTCTTCTCACATTTATTGTCAAGAACATACCATGCCCGGAAGCAGACCACCTTCCGCAATACCCAACAAAGCGCGAACAGCCACGAAGCCAGCAAAATTCCGCACAAACCCAAGGCACATAGTGATGATACCCCAAACAATTGTCAGAAAAGGCAACCAAAGTTTCGGCGATGCCTTCTTGAGCACAAGGTTACTCGGCAACTCGCTGTATACCCATTAGCTCTTTATTTCCGTGTTCAATTTCAGTGGCTGGCACAAACGCACCTGCAGATATAGGTAAGATAGAATACAGCCAAACCGATGTCATACTGATGATCAGTGATAGAGAGATCCTTCTCCAAGCCGAGAATCTTCGCATTACCGACATTCGTCCGATCGAGAAAAGAGCATAGGAAAAGCAGGGCCAGCATAGGAAGAATTCTAGAAGCAATTAGCCTCTTTTCGCGGTTTCACGGGCGCAAGACTAACCGCGTATCCAATTTCAGTAGTATCCTCCGCGTTAATTTCTCCTGTTGTGCGTGATCGCCATATTGGTTGAGGGCGGCGGGCTTTGCCTCCTCGATCTCCTCCGCCTTCATTTTGGTATCCATAGAGCGGGTAATTCAAAGCTTGGCGACGCAGGTCGAGTCTTGGTTTTCTGGGTGGTCTGTCAATCGTAAACTGGAGGTTAAAAGAATGAGAAGAAAGGAGAGAAAAATGGGGAGGAAATAAAGCACACAAATAGGCTCAAGCCAAACGAGTCGGATACCAAATCTGGGTCCGTAACCAACGAGAAAGAGCTGACATCCTTTATTCCCCGCAAAACAACCCCGGATTCTGGGAGCCGCGTGTAAAATTACCGTAAAATTATTTTCCGGTTACTGTTTTATTACTGTTGACTGCCGGTATCGCTCGGCGGCCACTTCTGGTCTCCGGGATCCTCTCCAAAACCTCGGACCCGAGATTTGGTCTCCAGTCCGCATTTTTAATGGCCAGACATCCCTCCTCCAGACGCTCATCAGTAGAGATGTCGAAACTCTCAGCAAGCCTCAAGGCATTAATCAATGCCCCCGCCGCCCGACCGTCCACCGTCCCCGCCCCGGCCAACATAACCTCGGTCTACCAGAAGATCCAGCAGACCGCGCAGGCGAAACAGATCTCGCAGCCATCATGGGTCGCACTATCCGTGAGTACATAAAACAGCATGGAATAAAAGACACAGTAGTCTAATACCCACCAGACCGCAGCGACAATGACAATGAACTCCCCCGAATCCCTAACAGCCCTGTACAACCTAGCGAGCACAACAACACCAACCCAATCCCTCGAAACAGCCGAACTGATGCGCGAAGTCGGGCTGAAATGCATAAGTTTTAACGGCATCCCCCGAACAATCAACTGCCTAGGCTCCTTCCGCGCAAGCCTACCGGAAACAATCATCGCCCAACTATCACACACGCCAACGCGCGGCCCGACCCCCGAAAATATCACGGGAATCAGTCAACGCGGCCACGCACTCTGGGATTCGATCTACCGGCCCTTCGAGACGAAGTTGTATGACAAGCTGTCCGAGTCGCATCCTGATTTGCCGGTGCATATCCTGCATGCGAATTATGGGGCTTTGCTTTCGGATCCGGTGCGTGAGAGGGCTGGTGGGACGTCTGCTGGACGAGTTTTGACTTCTATTGTTGCTGTTGCTTGTTTGAGGGCGCAGAGTGGGGTTGGCCCGCAGGTTACTTCGCATGTTTTTGGGTTGAGGAAGGCGCTTGAGGATGGGTCTTGGGTTGGGGATGTTGAGGGGGAGGCTGGGGCTAAGTGGTTGGCTAGTGATGAGGGTAATTTGTGGATTTTGGAGAGTGTTGATGCTATTGTTGGGGCTATTGGTAACGGGGAGGGTTCGAATTTTGCTCCTGGGCGAGCGAAGTTGTAGATTTGAATAGATGATGGGTTGCATACAATTGAGCTCTGTTTATATATATTCTGTTGTTCCGTATATATGTTCTGAATTTGGTTGTCTATATGGTAGATGTTCAATATACAATGACTGCAAGTAAATGCCCAATCGTCAAATTTATGCAGTAAACATCTATTCCATAATCTCAAGCGTGTCAGCAATCGCAAACTTAGCATCCGTCTTGCTCTGCACCTCCTCCACCTCAACGCCAGGAGCGAGCTCCGTCAGCGTGAGCTTTCCACTAGCTCGGTCAACCTGGAACACACACTATACAATTGTCAGTCATTGTTATTCATGATCAATCAGGTCCACTTACTAAGTCTGTGATAATAGTGCTAACAACATTAGCGCCGGTCAGAGGCAAGCTGCACTGCTGCACAATCTTGGGTGATCCATCCTTGGCAACATGGCTGGTGGCTACAACAATCTTGGTCTGGTCGGGGTTGGAGATCAAGTCCATGGCTCCGCCCATACCCTTGAATACCTTGCCGGGGATCATGTAGTTTGCCAAGTCGCCGTTAGCGCTCACTTGGAGAGCCTATTGGACCAATTAGCGAACATTCTCCCTTCCTTTACATGCGAGCACGAACCCCAAGAATAGAAACGTCAACGTGACCTCCCCGGATCATGCCAAAGGACTCGGTGCTGTCAAAAGTGGAAGCGCCAGGGACAAGAGTGACGGTCTCTTTTCCGGCATTGATAATATCCCTGTAGTTATGTTAGACCACGAGGCATGATAAAGACAGCTGGAAAACTTACGCATCCACTTCTTGCTCAGTGGGATAATCGCCCTAAATCAAACCAGTTAGAAAAGCCAACTCGAAACCACAGATCAACTTACCATTCCCAAAATGCCATTCTCCGACTGAATCCAAACCTTCACATCCTTTGGCAGGAAAGAAGGTGCCAAAGTAGGAATACCTAGAACCAGGTCAGCCACGAGCTACCTCCACAAAGCTGCATATACATACCAACACCAAGGTTAACATAGAAACCAGGCTTCAACTCCTTAGCAGCCCTCCGACCAATAATCTCTCTCTGTTTCTGCGCCGCATCCCTTGCCGGCCCAGTCGTGCTGGCTTCGCCAGAACGCAACTTCTTAATCTCAATATGCTTCTCGTCTGTCGCAGGCACAATGCGATCCACAAATATTCCGGGTAAATCGACATCATTCGGGTCGATAGAGCCAACAGGGACGATATTCTCGGCTTCGACAATGGTAAGAGTTGCGGCCTTAGCCATGATCGGGCCAAAAGCTTTAGTCGTGTATCTAGAGAAGGCGTGTGAGCTAGGATAAATTGAGAGAAATTGACGAACACACCTGAACACGCAGTTACCAGCCTCGTCCGCCTTCCAAGCCCGAAGAATGGCTACATCGCCCGTCAAAGCAGTCTCCATGAGATAAGTCTTGCCATTAAATTCCCGTGTTTCGCGCGGCTTGCCCGATTCGAGGACTTTGCCTGATTCGTCCATGCGCACGGGGATCTTGCCCTCTTGGATGAATGTGTCTAGATTTGATGTTAATAAATCTCACTCACATTAAATGAAGCAAAAGAAAAGATGTTTACGTACGGACACCAGTCGGGGTGAAAAACGCCGGAATACCAGCACCACCAGCACGAAGCCGCTCAGCCAGGGTACCCTGCGGACAAAGCTCGATAGCAATCTTACCCGTCAGGTAATTCTTTTCCAGTGTCTTATTGTTTCCCAGGTAAGAAAGGATCAAGCGATTCAACTGGCCATTTTGCGACAGAGTCGAAAGACCGCCCTTGCCCGCGGCACCGGCGTTGTTCGATACGGCTGTTAGAGAGTGCAATTGATCGGCGCCTCGACGGTGCATGGCATTGATCAATGTTTCTATATAGAACCGTATATCAGCATCACCATTCCCGATATTACATTACTCTGTCTGCTCGATACGTACCAGCAACCCCGCAAAGCCCAAATCCAGAACTAAGAATCGTCGAACCACTCTTCAAATCTGCGACCGCGGCATCGGCATCCTTGAAGAGCTTTGACCCGCCACGCTCGATCTTCGGTGCGAGTGATTGTAACGGAGCGGTCGTGGAGTATCGTGAGCTGATGCTTGTGGAGCTGGAGGTGGGTTGCAGAGGGCGCAAGCCGGGGCGGACTCCGAGGTAGAGTCGGGGCCGGCTGGCGGTGATTGCTTTGCGCGACAATGTCGCTGTTGAAATGCGAAGCGCTGCCATGTTTGTGTTTGTGTTTTGGAGGGGAAAATTGAGCAGAATTGGAGTTGTTTGAGCTATTAAATTGTTGACGGTTTCGGCTGTCGGAGCTACTTTTGGACGCCGATGGGCCGACCGTGGCGAGTGACGTCGCTTGTTTTCGGGTCCTTTTTTTTGCCCGTATGTACGGTTTTCTAATTAGGTGGCGCATTTGGATATGTTCGTATGTGTTTGTGTGATTTTGGAATTGTATGAAGTATACCAAAGATCTAGTATCAACCATAAACTCGACGCCGAAGTACGCAAGACACTTAACTCGAATCAAACATCAAAACATAACTCCCAACACCTTTCGATCAACCAGTCAAAGTCTTCTTAAGCCTCCCCAATTTCCCCTTCAAACCGCCAGATCTCGTCTCGCCAGTCCTTCGCTGGGCCTCGGCCCTGATCTCCTCATCAGTCCGCCGATTAGATGTAGACTCCGACGAGAGACCGTTCAATTGTACCCCTGGAACCAAAGTAACATCTGAACCCGCATCACTAGAAAATGCACCATCACCTCTCCTCTTATCCTTATTCTCAATAGCCCGCTGCTCCTCCTCGCGTCGCAACCGCTCCCGTCCACGTCGGGCGGCGCCTTCGATTCCACTTTCGCCTAGCATGGCTGTTCCGGATGGACCAGGGGCGAGGGCGCTCCAATCTAGGACCATTTTGCTTGCGGGTTGTGGTTTGTGGCTTTAGAAGGGTTGAATGTGGGTATGTGGGTGAGTGGCTGGATGGCTGGTTGTATCTTGGGTATATAGTTTTATCACGGAATGAGAGATGATTTCATATTCAGGTTTTTATTACAGAAGGTTTCTATTTTTTCTCTTGGAGAAGTGCTGCTTGTATGTCTTGCTGGATGGGGGCCGGATTACTATGACGTTAGCCAAGATGGTCCCATGCTGGGGGACCTGGGATAGCGTTGCGTGGTTGCTGAGCCTTGCGAGTGTCTGTGGATATTTGGTTTGGGTGGTGAATTATATTTAGGCGTAGTGGACATGCTTGACTATCATTCCTATTGAGGTAAATGGATGATTAGAGATTCTTTGTGCAATGGTTTGATCTGCGAACATTTGACTGAAGCTGGATAAACTTTTCTGTCACGACTCAAGGCTACTCTTACTTCTCAAACAAACTGTGTATCACAACCCAGAAACAAAAACAATACAATTGTGGGTATCAATACAGTAACACCAACCTCTCAATCTTCATTCATCAAAGACCCAAATCTGCACTGGCAAAATCGAGCCAATCCCAGCTTAGCATATCATCAAGTGGAACATCAGGAATAGACGCCCCGAACGCCGTCCCAGCCCGATTAACCGCATCGACAATCTGGTTATCCGACATAGCTGAAAAGTGCATTGGCTCGAACCATAGATCCTCCGGTGGAAGGGATGTTGGGGGTTGGGTGACTTGGATTGGGAGGCCGTTGGTATCGAGACATGAAGATGTATGGGGCAGAGTTGGTTCAGGTAAATCCATGCCAGATGGATTGACGCGTTGAGAATTGGATTGGAATTGGGATTGTGGATGGGATAGCGGGAGAGGGAAGGCAGGAGCTCTCCGGATCAACTCGCGCAGAAAGCGGCCATAGAGCACCGACGAACCATTCCGATGGCTAGGTGTTGCACCGACTCTTTCTAGAACGCCGGCTGTTTCTTCGATTAGGTTTCGCACGCTGGGTGCGAGACTTGATCTGCCGTCGCCAGGCGTTACGCTTAGACTCAGTGCTGAGCAGGCTGCGAAGGATATCATAATGACTGTGTTGTTGGGCATTGACTTTAGGCGGGATTCGCCTTGGATGGCGGCTCGGAGGACGTTTAGGGCGGATGAGAGGCCCGCAGCGCGGAAGAAGCGTTTCACTTCGAGGGGGGCTGTTGGGTGGTTGATTACGCCGCCGTAGGTTGAGAGTTGGGTATGCGTCACCAGAATCTCGACGTAGGGGGGAAGAGAGCGTGCTTTCTGGGTTAGGATAATGCTCTTTCGGTGAGGTAGTCCATACTTACTGTCACCTTCGCCGATTGCTAAGGCCCATGTTGCGTACCATCGTTCGTAGAAGGTCTGGATGGTTTTCTTAATCCTGTCTCGCAGTTAGCAGGAGAACGTCCACCGATTGTAGTAACTCGTACGATTGAGCGACTTCTGAGCCGGTATCAACGATTCGATAACTATCACAGCTTGATTTGACCTTCCTTAATAGTCCGTCCTAGATTTACCATTAGAGCCATAGGCGACTTTTGGGCATAATAACGTTTACCAAATCTCTGCGAAGAACTGCCATCGAGTTCATAGGACCATCACGCAAATCTGCGATATTGGACAGATGCCAGCGGTCGCAATTTTCAATAAGCGTAGTCAGAGGAACCGTGTAGCTTCGTCCACGAGCAAGACAAACCCTGCCAGACAGTCAGTACAATAATACCACATGTCAAAGATAAAGAGCTCAAACTTACCCCCTCTCAACAACAAACAACGCAATCCAAGCTCTTTCACGTCGCCGTAGCAGACGCAGACCCCACTCAGAGGATGGATCAACATCATCAAATCCGTCCATGTGCAAAGCCCTCTTTGGATCGATACAATCCGCCCGAGCTAAACGATCGAGAAGTTCCTGATCAAAGCTCGCAGATGGCGAGACAATCTTGTTCAATGATAAATCCAAAGCAACAGTCAAAGCCATGGCAATATAGGAACAGGTATCGTCATCTCCGAGACTATCACCAGGGGACATCCACGGAACATTAACCATGAAAGCCAGAACAATCTCGACAGACCTATGGCGGTGTGTAATTACCCTCTGCGCAAGCGACTTGCAATGTCGAGATAATCTCTTAGATAAAGCAGCTGCGGATGGCAGGAATAGAGCCGCACCAGCCATGATCGATGTAAACAGAAACGCGGATTGAGAACGCACAAATGATGGCGTATGTATCAATGGATCGAGGCCCCACCTCGTGTGAGCGAGGTTTTGATAAAAGCTGATGCGAATGTCAGTACCACGTTTCATATATCATACCGACTCAATCAGAGACGGAGATATATATACGCACAACGAGAACAAAGATTCCGACTCATCAAATGTAACCAAGCCCAAATCCACGGGATCAACCTCAGACCCAACATCCAGATTCGCCCTAGCCGGCACGAAAAATGACTTCGCACTTGGCTCTTGAGGGATGGCATTCTCCTGCGACACGGCCAACGGAGCGCCCGGCAATGGCAGCGAAGGCCTAGGTGCCCGGCGCACTCCCGTCGGCGAAAGCTGCAGATCCGAAGCTCGCGCTAGCAGCTGCAGCGGATTTTCTGCATCATCCAATGTGAGACTCTCATCGACCTTGGTATCGCGCAGCGAAGGCGGGTCGGAATCAGGATCATGACCCGGCCCCGGACCCTCGGAGAAAGCGTCTTGATCACTCTGCATTAATTGAGCCTGGACTTGGATGAGGAGGTCCTGTAGACCGGAGATGGCTCTTTGCGCATCGCCGTCGCCGGAGTCAATCCTGGGTCTTTTGATGGCCTGTTCGATCTGATGGATCGCCTTCTCCAGACCCTTGCGTTTGCTGTACACGCGTCAGCGCTGATCTCCCGCTGCCAAGGACAGGAATGTTTGGTTTCATTCTATCTCAACTTGACTCACTTCTTTACTCCCTTCTGTCTGCCTAGATGGTGGCTTGGCACGATGCACTCCGCATCACTCTGCTTACATTTCTCGCAGCGAGTTTCGCCCGCTGCGCGATTGCAGCGGATCTTGCTTCGCCGGCAGCTCAGACATGCGGCTTGTTTTGCATGGGGAGTTTGGCCCGACGGCTCCATTACGTTGTTGATTGGGACCATTCTGATGTCCGGGTGAACCATGAGGCTTCGGGACGGGAAGTGGATGAGAATAGGTCAGGAGTTTTGGCTTATATAGTCACAAATGAAAACCATTCCAACAGCCCGGCCGGGCTAGCTCAATCGGTAGAGCGTAAGACTCTTAATCTTAAGGCTGCGGGTTCGACCCCCGCGTTCGGCTATTCCTAAACACCGTCCACGAGTGAGCGTTTCTTTTTTT